CCTCTGTTTTCTCTTTCAGATCCTATTGATCTCATGAAAACTTCTCATTCAACTGAATTCTTTTTCTCAGATCAGCACCTGCTAACTAAAACTTCATCGGCTCTTTTGAGAAACTTAGGCCTCTCAAAATTTAGAGGCAATCCAAGACTTATTTTCTTTTTTTTTTAGAGAATTTTATTTCTTCAGAGATTTTTGCTATAGGGTACATTCACCTCTCAGGATTTTAGGCACGTATGCACACGTGCTGGGCGTACATTTCAAGCCACCGGGTCCAGGACTCAAACCACGATTAGCCTCACGGGAGTCCATCACCTTAACCACTAGGCCACCTGCTAGCTCCTAAGACCTGTTCTTTCATTGCTTCCTCTTAATCTAGAATTCTATTCTCTTCTGAATTAAATATCAAGGATAACTTTATATGAAAGAGCACTTGACCGTTGGGTGGGCTATAGCTAACACATCACTGACAAAACCTGCAATTTTAAAGTAATTGAAGTGGCTTCCATGAATGGTTATTACTACAGAGGGCAAACCAGTTTTCTATCCCTTTTCTTATGTACCTGTGTCCAAAAAAAAAGAGCCTCAGATGTCTGACTGCATCAAACAAAAACTGATAGTAAAGACAATTTGCTATTTAAAAAAAAAAAAAAAATTGTCCAGGCCAGCTGGTGGCATGGTGGTTAAGGTAGCTGAATCCCACGTGACCAATTGCATGGTTTGAGTCCCAGACTCAGCTTGAAAAACACACCATTCGCATGTGCATGTGTGCCCCAAATCCCAAGAGGAAAGGAGGAGAAGGGGTTGCAGTGTGAATGTTCCCTTCCAGAAGGGGTGTGATTTCTCACCTACCCTCTCTCTGGATCTCTCTCAGTGCATGCACATACACGCTATAAGAAACTATTAATAAAAAAATTAAAACTGAAACCAAAAAGAAATACAAATAAAGCAAGATATTTAAAAAATTTTATTCATCATCATTATGATTTTTTTTTTTTTGGAGAGGTTTTTTGCTATAGGGTGTATGCGCTCGCCAGACAGAGAGACAGAGAGACAAAAAGTGAGAAATCACCCCCCGGGGGGATGGCCACACCTCAATTCCTTCTCCTCCATTCTCTTCTTGGGATCTTGGGCACGTACGCACACACGCCCGGCTTGAGTTTTAAGCCACCGGGTCCGGGACGCGAACTGAGGTCGACTACATGGGAGTCCAGTGACACAGCCATTACGCCAACTGCTGGTCCCCATTATGATTATTTTTAAACTTGAACAGAGAGAGAGAGAAAGAGAGAGAGAGAAAGTGAGAAAGCAAGCTACCAGGTCTGGAACTCAAACCACAGTCAGCCATGTGGGAATCGAACACCTTAACAACCATGCCACCTGCCAGCCCCCAAATAAAACAAGATTTTTTTAAAAAACATTAATTTTTTTTTTCCTTTTTAAGGTTTTTGGGTGTATGCATTGGTTGGAGAGAGACAAAGAGAAGGAAAGTGAGAAATCGACCCTGCTCCAGACGGAATGACCACACCACAATTCTTCTCTTGGGATTCTGTGCGCATATGTCTGGAATGATCTTCAAGCCACCCAATCTATGACTTAAATCACAGTTGGCCATGTAGGAGTCCAGTGCCTTAACGATAATACCACTTACTGGCCCCAAAATAAACCAAGATTTTATATGTCTGCATGTGTATGTATTCATACATTTAAAAAACTTATTTTATTTACTTCATTTTTTTTTCTGAGAAATTTTTGTTATAGGGCCTGTGTGCTTGCCAAAGAGACAGAGAGACAGCAAGACAGAAAACAAGAAAATCACCTACCCTCCAGAACAGATGGCCACATCACAATCCCTTCTCCTCCTGTCACTTCTTGAGATTTTAGGCATGCACACACATACGTCTGGCGTGAGTTTTAATCCACTGGGTCCAGGACTTGAACCACAGTCGATTACATGGGAGTCCAGTGACATAGTCATTACACCAACTGCTGGCCCCACCCATACACACATTTATATATATATAGGCAGTCAGACAGACAGACAGACAGACAGAAAGCAAGAAAGTACCCCCCAGGGGGGACGGCCATGCCACAATTCCTTCTCCATTCTCCTCTCAGGATCTTGGGCATGTATGCACACGGGCTTGGCATGAGTTTAAGCCACTGGGTCTGGGACTTGAACCATGGTCAACTACATGGGAATCCAGTGACATAGTCATTATGCCAACTGCTGGTCCCTATTTTATTTTTTTTTAATTTGACCAGAGAGAAACAGGGAGTGAGAGAAAGGGGGAAAGTAAGAAAGCAAGCCTCCAAGTGCAGTAATCAAACCATGGTCAGCCATGTGAGAGTCCAGAGCCTTAATCACCATGCTACCTGCTGACCCCTACAGTTTAAATTATATTACTCTATGTGAGTCAGGATGCTCTGAAATGATCTCCAATAGATCTCTAGTGAGACTGAAATTGGTACTATACTTGTGAAATCATTGGGCAGTAAATTTCTATAAAATGTTCATACTCTTCTGCCTAAAAATGAGGATGGAATTTGACATTAATTTATTCCCAATTCTAATAATCTATCCTAAAGGTAAAATGCTAGCTAGACACAACATTTGTTTCCAAATACAAAACAAAACATTAAAATAACTACTCATCAGGACCAGTAGATGGCATAATGGTTATGTTGCTAGACTCCCATGTAGTCAACCATGGTTTGAGTCCCAGACCCAGCAGCTTAAAACTCATGTCGAGCACGTGTGCATGTGTGCCCAAAATCCTGAGAGGAGAATGTAGGAGAAGGTATTGTAGCCTCGCCATCCTCCCTGGAGGGTGATTTCTCACTTTATGTCTAGCTCCGTGGCAAGCACAGGTGCCCTATATTAAACGCATGCACACACACACACGCATGCCTATGCGTGTTCATATTAGTGTTCATATACTCATTAGTGTTCATATACTCATTATGAACACTAATCACAAAGATGTCCATCCATCCCTGTGTTATATGTAATAGTGAAAGACTAGAAATAACCTAAAAGTGCATCAACCAGATAATGATTATTGGTTAAATATTGAAGGTTTTCAGAATGAAAATGGAGTCATTTATGTCAGATGTTAAACCCTGACTAAATGGAGTCACGAAGGAGGCAAATCTCACGCATATATGCCTGATTTTAAGAACTGTCACAGGATACTGCTACAACCACATCCTTGGACTGCAAGGACATCTGCCCAGAGAGCATCTGTCTAAACTTGGGCTGCCACCACCCTTGTTATAGATCCTGGTAGACAAGGATAATTGTCTCAAAACAACTTACGGAATCCCTCCTCATTTTTCTTTTAAAAACAATCATCAGGGCCAGCAGATAGTGTAACAGTTATAACGCTAGACTCCCACCTGGCCAACCATAGTTTGAGTCCTGGACCTGGTGGCTTGACAATCACGCCGGGTGTGTGTGTGTGTGTGTGTGTGTGTGTGTGTATGTGTGCGCATGTGTACCCAAGATCCTGGGAGGAGAATAGAAGAGGAGGGAGTGGGGTGTGGCCATTCCCTTAAAGGATGATTTCTCACTTTCCCTTTCATTGTCTCTGTCTCTCTCTCTCTGAGAAGTGCACACACCCTAAGGCAGAAACCTCTCAAGATAAATAAAATAAAATAAGAAAAAAAGAAAGCTCTTGCCTTCCCTTACCTCCCTGAACACACCTATAGTTTTTATATAGCAAGCGTAGTCCACATTGCAGTGCCCATTTTTTGAATAGATATCACCTTTCTTTTAGAGAGTCATTCTCACTATTATTTAGGGGTTGGTAGACATTTATAGAATACTCTATTCACACCCAATTAAGTGCTCTACAGAGTTCTTCCTAAGGGAATGTGCTAGCAGTGATGTTGTCTAGGGTGCAAGCTCCAGCTCCTTCAAGAGGCACCTTAATTGAGTCCCTGGAGTCCAAAGCCTGGTTCTCTGTCTCAGGATCAGAAACTTGCTTTTCTTCGTGCATCAGAAACTTGCTTTTCTTAGTGCACCAGATAAGACCTTTGGAGGGACCACAGACTACTCTCACAAATAACGAAGTTGATGTAGCCATTGAAGGCTAGTTTGTTAGTGGACGGTGGATGACATCATTTACAAACAAAAGAGTGCATACATCTACTGATCAAGGTCTGTCCCCAGCTACTTATAGCCTGCTGTTAACTAGAAGCCTTCCTGATAATATAAACTGTTTGTTAATGCATATTTTGCATGTTATATGTATTATATACTGTATCCTTATAATAAACTAGAGAAAAGAAATTGTTATGAAAATTTTAAGAGGTCTTCAAAAAGTTCATGAAAATGAAATCAGAGTTTATTTTGGTACAAAAAAGTGTTTGGGGGGCTGGCAGGTGGTATGGTGGTTAAGGGCCAACTGTGGTTCAAGTCTGAGACCTGGCAGCTTGCTTTCTCACTTTCCCTCTCTCTTTCTCTATCCCTCTCTCATCAAAATAAAATAAACAAACAAATAAATAAATAAAGTTAAATAAAGTAATTATCTTTTAAAGAATTATTTTATTTCATTGTATTCACCATCATTATTATTTTTTTATCTTAACCAGAGAGAGACAGAGACAGAAAGAGAAGGAAAGTGAGAAAGCAAGCCACCAGGTCCGGGACTGTAATGATCGGCCATGTGGAAGTCTAGCACGCTTAACTACTGTGCCACTGCTGGCCCCATAAAATAATTATTTAAAAACAAAAAAGTGTTTGAAATCCATCCAGAGTTTTTCATAATACATATTTTCCATGAACTTCTGAAAACCCTTAGTACTATAATTTTTTATATATTTATTGAAAAAAGTCCTTGTATGAGTGATCTCATACAATTCAAACCCATGTGTTCAAGGGTGCTAGTTTCTTTTGCCTTTTCCCTCTTTGGTACAAACTGTATGGACTAGTTATTTTCCATTTGTTTTGCTGGATTCATTATTCAACATTTTGTATCCTGCTTTATGCACTGGAAATTTGTTTTTAAGTTTATTTATTTACTCCTCCAGGAGAGAAACAGACAGACAGGTACCCCAACAAGGTCTCAATGCCATGATTCATCCTCAGCCCCATCCGGCCCCAGATCACAGGCATGCATTTACCCAGCATACTCAGGGAGGTCTCCGAGGGTGAGGTTGGAACCATCCAGACGGGTCAGTCCCACAGAACTGGAGCAACACCGTCAGCCTCCTTACACTGTGAATTTGACCTCTGCTGAATATTTATTTCTCTGCCTTCCAGTTCAGTTCTGTTAATGGAATCACAGGAGAGGTGTGAGGGTAGGAGGAGAGAGATGTCAAGGTATTTATTGCCCTAACGCCCTCTCTGCCAGGCCACAGGTAGGCAAGGGCTACATTCACCTAAATTCCTACGGACCTCTTTCTCCCACACTTACAGCTTTAATTGTTGTTCTTGTAGCTCACAATCTTACCACATTCCAGCCCCTCCCCAAAGGTGTCTTTTCACTTACATGTACATGGTTTCATCAGACCCCAGCCCTTCCCTAACACTATCTTTTCTTTCTTTTTTTTCAGACAATAGAAGTATGCCAATAGTTAAGATAAGACCCCCCACTAAAAAACCCAGCTCAAACCAATAGGATTCAAGATGACTGTTACAGTGACCTTTGGAAGACCCCAGACCTCATCATAACGTCATTTACAGGCTAACTGACACAACCACCCAGTGCCATGACAATTAACAAGCACTAGGTATATCACCAAAAATGACCTTACAAGGAGAAAAGGGAGGTAAGTGTTAGAATTCTGGGAAATTACCACCTTTTCCAGAAGAAGCTCTGGATATTTCTCCTCTCTGTCACCCTATTCCATCCTCTCATCATCCTATTTGCTGTATCTTTTTTTGGTTTCATTTTTGCCGGAGGACACATGCACTTGTTGGAGATACATAGAGAAAGGAAAAGAGGCAAATCTCCCAGCTCCCACCCTACCATGGGGCATGGTCACACCACAATCCCTTCTCCTCCATTTCTCCTTTCAGGATTTCGGTCATGCACACATACACGTGCCCAGCAGTTTTTCAAAGCTGCTGGGTCCAGATCCCATGTGGGATCAAGCTGTCTTAACTACCATGCCACTAGCTGGTCCTCCATTTGCTATATCTTACCCACTTTATTTCAAGACAGACAAGAAGCTGATTTGTGAACTCATCTCACCATTGAATAAAGCCTGTACCATCAATACTCAGTTTTGATATAGTAAGTTGGCTCTGCAACACAGAACAGTAAAATATTCCATCTTTGGGAATAAATTAAAAATCGGTGGGACCAGCAGATGGCATCATGGTTATGTCACTGGACTCCCACATAGTTAACCAAGGTTCAAGTCCCAGACCCAGCAGCTTAAAACTCATGCTGGGTGCGTGTGTGTATGAGGCCTATAGCAAAAATCTCTCAAAAAAAAAAAAAAAAAATTGGTAACACTCCTTTGAGTGTCTTGTAGTAATTCCCTCCCACACCAGTCTCTGAGTGCTCTGCCTTTTCTTACTTGTTATGTTAGCCATTCAGACACCTTAGAAGATAATCCCTTCATTAAATTCTTTAATGACCACCTTGAGTAAGCCATCTGTTTTCTCCTGAGACTCTGGCTGATGCAGCATCCCTGTGGAGGAGAGAAGGGTGAGGATTAGAATTTGTTACAGATGTTAAACAAACAAACAAACAAAAATGACAAGGCTGACCCCATAGAACAGTGGTAAAGGGAGCCAGTTCCCATGCAGCTGACTGGTTTGAATACCAGCTCCAGTGGCTTGAAAAATATACTGGGTGCATGTGTGTACATGCCCAAAATCTCAAAGGAAAAAAGCAATGAAGGAAAAGGATACCATGCCCCATTGGAGGGTGCTCTATATCTCTGAGGCAAACAGATGCTCCTCTGGCAAATTGAAAAAAAGTTTTTATTTAATTTTATCTATTATTATTATCTTTAATTTGCTACAGGACGTGTGTGCTCATTAGAGAGAGACAGAGGAAGAGAGAGAAGAGAAGTGACAAAGTAAGCTGCCAGGTCCAGGACTTGAACAACAGTCAGCCATGTAGGAATCCAGCCCCTTAACCATCATGCCATCTACTGGCCCCTCTTTGGCATGCTTCTGAGATAACTATTCAGAGGATCTATGGACATAAAAAATTGAATTGTTAATCTTTTTGTTTTGTTTTGTTTTTACTAAGTGTGTGTGCACTCATCAGAGAGAGAGAGAGAGAAAGTGAGAAAGCAGTCCCTCAGAGGGCGATGGCCACAGTCCCTTCTCCTCTGTTCTGTTCTTGGGATTTTGGGCACTCATGCATCTACACGCAGTGTGTTTTTAAAGCTGCCTGGTCTAGGACTCAAACCTCACTGTCAGCCATATGGGATCCAGCTGCCTTAACCACCATGCAATCGCTGTCTTTTCAATGTTTCTATAATGAGCATGAATTACTTTTGTAACCAGAATTTTATTTGTTTTGTAAGAGAACATATACATCATGCTCTGCTCACACTGTCAGGGACAAACCAGACTGACATGGCCAGGCTCAACCAAAGAATTTGCCTCCAGATATGCCTTGACCTGGTTACTATCAGGAACCTTAGCAAACTCTCAGAGTTCATTCTTTCTCAGGAAGGAGTAGTCAGGGACCCTTCTGATGAAGGATACCTGTGGGAGTGGGGCTGCTTTAATGGGTCAGCTGTACTCTCCTGAGCATCTGCAATAGAGATTTGGGGAGTACTTGGTCTTCTAGTTGCGGTTAGGTTGGACCACTCTGTACTGGGCTGCTGGGAGACAAGTAGAGCCAAGACCACTGTTAGGGCTCAATAAATCTGTATGCCTTTATTTTTATCGTCTTTGTTTATGGTAGAGCACATGCACACATGTGTGAGTAAAAGAGAGAAGAACTCTCCACAGGGTATGATCATTCTACAATCCCCTCCTCACAGCCTATCAGATCTTGAGCACTTGTGCTTGTGTACTGAATGTTTCTGACTGATCAGGCTGGGGATTCGAACCACAGTCAACATATAAAATCCAGCTTCTCTTGAGTAGTACATTTTTGTTGTGCCTCAGAGCTGGTCCTGTCTTTTCTCTTACTAATCTAACAATTGTCAGTAATTTTGAGCTAACCTCAGGGCAGGAGGGCATTCCCTCCTACACTAGCCAGTCTTTGGAGAGCAAATATAGGACTCTCACCACTGATACACACGGGTATGTGTGACTTTGTCCAGGAGAGTGGGAAACACAGTAGGAGTGGTTTAATCAGACTGAATAGAGACATGCAAGTTGATGTCTCTCTTCTCATCCTGACGAGCACGGTCTTGCCTTTGGGCATCTGCTGGGGCCCTTTCCTCTACTTGAAATGCCATCAATCCTATCCCATCTATGTCTACCAGATTCCTGCCTGACTTACCTTTGGAGTATTGAGGTAAAACTGCAAGAAGTCTACATCCTGGTGGATTCTGTGCACTGGGGGGTCACCTCATCTGCTCTGGCTCTCTGGAGAACATGGCAAAGATGCACGCTTACACACAAGACTCTCCCCTGGGGGCAGAGGCAAGAAAATTGCTGGAGCATACTGGTCTCTCTCTCTATATTTCTTTTTCTTGGGGCCAGCAGATGCCGTGGTGGTTAAGGGTGCTGGACTACTACATGGCCCACTGTGGTTTGAGTCCCAGACCTGGCATCTTGCTTTCTCGCTTTCTCTCTCTCTCTCTCACTCGCTCTGTACCTCTCTGGTCAAATATAAATAAATAAAGTTAAATAAAATATATTTTGTTTTGTTTTGTTATGGTTGCTTATTTTGTGATTTTCAGTTTACTTTCCCTTTAGTTACCACAGAGCTCACTTCAACAGTGCCTAGGTTCAGCCCTGATAACAAATACATCCTGCTGGGATTGAAAGAGATTGCAAACCCCAGCTACCTGCTCAGCTTCTAGGTGTGCTTGCCCTGAACATTTCTGCTTCCCAATAGCTCAGGCTGTGAAAGCCTGATCAAGAGAAATCAAGCACAGATTTTCCATACAGAGCCCTGGCCTCTGTGGTCCTATGGCTGGTCACTTGCTGGTCTAGAGAAGATATTTCTGGATGAGCATAATGACAACCCCAAATCCTGCTCATTCCCTTCTTTCCACCCCTACCCATTACACCTACCCAATCATTGCTGGCATCTGGGCAGGAAGGACCACAAATGTGGCCATTACCTGTCCTTGCTTTCTGATTACCCACAGCCTAAGCTGCAGAATCACAGACATTGCTAGGGGAGGGCCAGGAGAAGAGAGAATATACTTATTGCCTCTTGCAGTCTCCCTTTCCCAGTCTGTCTGCCTGACCAGGCTTGGAGGCCACTAGGTAAGCCTTTGGCCAAGATATCACATTTTGATTCTGTTCACATTCTTTTCAGAAAATATGCTATTTTAAGGCAATGCTCCTCAAACATCAATGTGCATAAGGATCACTTGGGAATCTGGTGGAAGAGCAGGTTCTGATTTGGTAGTTCTAGGGACAAGCTGACATCCTGCACTTCTAACAGGCTCCTAATACTGCAAAGATGGAAGGGACCCAGACTTGTAGTCTAGGTTCAGATGAGGTATTGCCTGTTCTGTGAAGATGATCAGAGCCCTGGTGTCACAATTAATCGCTTGGTCTCCCTGTTCCCCAAACATCTGACTCAGCCCTTGTCTTTTCTGCCAGCACAGCCAGATTCATCTGTGTCTGCCCAAACCCATCCTCCCATTGGTCTGGGGGCTGCTGGACAAAGAATCTTTGCAGCCATAATATCTAGCATGGTGGGTGTCAACAGTTTGGTGAATAAGGGAATGAACAAAAACTAATGGCTTTTGAAGGCAACTTATAGACAGTTTACACTGTGAGTATGTAAGGCATTTTCTAAAATGTGTTCCTTGGGATATCAATTTCTATGGGATGTTAATAGATGAAACAGGGAGGAGTGGGAAGGCTCTGTAATCACTTAATCTGGGAAATGTTGAGTAAGAAATAGACATCTAAAGAGATTTTCAAAGCCTTTAATAAACTAATGATTACTGCCATTGTCCAAGAGAGTGGTACAGTAAATAGCATTGCCCTCACTTATTTGACCACAGAAAATCTCTTCTGAGAAGCACCTTGTAGTGCTAGGGTGCTGAGGAATACAGGGGACAATCAGTACTCCAGTGTTACTGAAGAAATGCAGATAAAAGTTAAGTTACAAAGGAGGGTTAGTGAGATCTGGAGAGAGTGAGCTGTCCCCTTCCAGACTGAATAATCAGACTTCGAAGCTCTTGCCATACCACTTGAGGGGCTCTTTCTGCTCTCCTGGATTTCTCTGGGAGAGAATCACTGGATTGTCTACTCTCCTCTGATCTCCTGCAGTGTCTGAGAAAGGGAGGCCCAGAAACTTGGAAAGAAGACTTCTTGGTCTACTAACAGACTCAGGACTCCTGTCAGCATCTCCTGGAAGAGATTTATTCCAGCTGAAAAGAACAGAAGGATGCTTTAAAAGGGACCAAGTAATAGGATTTCAACCACCGAAGACCCTCTGCCTGGACTTCACCCTCCTGCTCCCCTGTCTAGGCAGGAGTCAGGTTAGATCACCCTATTTATTCTCTCTGTCTCTTTCCATCTCTCTCTATATATGTTCTTGTTGTTGTTATTATTTTTTTTTTTTGGAGAGATTTTTGCTATAGGGCGCGTGCGCTCGCCAGACAGACAGAGAGAGACATAGAGACAGAAATTGAGAAATCATCCCCCAGGGGGGATGGTCACGCCGCAATTACTTCTCCTCAATTCTCCTCTTGGGATCTTGGGCACGCACGCACACGCACCTGGCATGAGTTTTAAGCCACCAGGTCTGGGATGCGAACTGTGGTCGACTACGTGGGAGTCCAGCAACATAGCCATTACGCTAACTGCTAGTTCCCTTGTTGTTGTTATTATTATTATTTTAAAACCTAGCTCTCTGCTGCTCTTTTGTCTTTCTAATTCTCACCTTTCTCCCTGCCCCCCATATGATAATCCAATCAACAGCCAACTATATTTGAGTTCTGAGTGGCCCCATTCTTGCGGCGCACTAGTGTGCCACGCTGTTTTCATTTTTTGACAAAATTTTTTTCTTCTTTTATTTTTTCCTTTTCTTCTTCTTTTATTTCTTTTTCTATTCCTTTTTCTTTTCTTTTTACCTTTCTCACTTTTCTGCTCAGTCTTCATACACTGATTTTCTAGACAGGTCTAGGTGTTTGGCAGCCAAATACCTGAATAATTTTAGGGTCAGGTTAATCCTCAATTTTCACTGAATCAGTTGTGCAAAGGGAGGAAAATAGTACTACTTACAGACTGCGGGTTACCTCCTTCTGCATTCCTCTGATTGCTCAGATTTAACGCCAGAAAAATGGAAAAAACATATAATCCATCAGATGACCAGAAACCACTGCAGAGGCACAAGAAATATGAGAAACCAAGAAAGTATCTCTCCTCTAATGGAAAATAATAACTCCTCTTCCTCCACAAAGAATACAAGAGAACTCATAGAGATGTCAGATAAAGAATTTAAAAATATTCATAGTAACAAAGCTAACAGAGGTGCAAGAGGAAAGAGACAAGAAACTCCAGAAGACCCAGGAGAAAAGAGACACCAAGTTCCAGGAGGTGAGGATGTTTTTGCACAATCTGAAAGAGATCATAAAGAAGAATCAAACAGAATTGTTAGAGATGAAGGCTGTAATAAAGAAAATCAAAACTTCCATTTTTGAAAATATCAAAAGCAAATTAGATCATGCAGAAGATCGAATCTTAGATGGAGAAGATAGAACCTCTGACCTAGAAAATTTCACCAAAAAGACTGAGAAAATAACCCAGAAAGTGAGAATAACATACGAGTAATACTAGATACCATTAAACTCCCAAACATCTGGATCATCAGTATCCCAGAAGGTGAAGAAATAATAATGGTATTTTTTTAGAGGTTTTTGCTATAGGGCGCGTGCGCTCACCAGAAAGACAGAGACAGAGAGACTGAAAGGGAGAAATCACCCTCCACAGGGGATGGCCATGCTGCAATCCCTTCTCCTCTATTCTTCTCTCAGGATCTTGGGTGTGTGTGCGCACACACACACACACACACACACACACACACACACGCCCGGCATGAATTTAAATTTACGCCACCAGATTCGGGACTTGAACTGTGGTCGACCACATGGGAGTCCAGTGACACAGCCATTACACCAACTGCTGGTCCCTAGGGTATTGATAATCTATTCCATGAAATCCTGGAAGAAAACTTTCCAAACCTAGAGAAGCACTCAGATATCTAGATCCAAGGAATACAAAGGACCCTCACATAGAATCGACCCAAGAAGATCTTCCCCAAGGCACATCATAGCCAGATTGACCAAAACCAGAAACAGAAAAAAGATACTAAAACTCGCAAGAGAGAAACATCAAGTTACTTTCAAAGAGTATCCCATAAGGCTAACATTGAACCTCTCATCAGAAACAACTGCAAACAAGGAAAGAAAGAGAAAATATATTCAAAGTGTTAAGTGAAAAAGAACTTCCACCAATAATACTATACTTGGTAAGATTATCTTTCATATGGGAAAAAAAAAGACAAAAACATTCTCAGATAAACAAAACCTGAAGGAATTTACCAACACTAGACCAGCTCTCCAAGAAGTGCTGAAGATAGTGCTATACTAGGAAAACTAAAGTCAGACACACGGAAATAAGAGTACAAGAAACAACCACGGTAACACTGCAAATTCAATAGAAGAGAGATTAATTACATGAGTCTGAACTAGTGACATAGAATTTTTTTGACTTTAGACTAAAACATTACTGATTTTCTTCGATGCTTTGATTTCCATATTTAAGGACTTTTGTCTTCTCTTGAATTGTTGATAGATTCATTTACCTACTATTTGAACTGAATCCTAATCTTTTTCCTGGCTTTACATTTTAAGCAAATTTCTCTTAACATTTTTTTATTTTGATCTATTAAAACTAAAACTTTTTTTTAATTAAAAAAAAAAAAAGGACCAAGTAATGTAAGTCTGAAGCTGAGATCATGTTTGCAGTCAACTGATAAAAAGAAAGGAAACTAGGTCAGCCCCTTAGGGCAGCAGCTAAGCCCTGTGCACAGGAAGCCATAACCCACATGGCCAACAGCAGTTTGAATTCTGGCCCTGGTGCCATCAAACCAAGTATATGTGCATGCATGTCAGAAATCCTGACAGGATGAAGAAACGGAGGGGAAAAAGAATTATCACATTACCACACCCCATGGGGGATGTTGTTCTCTCTCTCTCTTTCTCTCTCTCTCTCTGGAAAGCACATGTATCCTCTGGCAATAAGAAAAAAGAAGGAAAAACTTCTAGAAAAATAACCCAACTGAATCCCAGATTTAATTTACCTTGAAACAGTCCCTGTTAACTGGAGGTGATTTTGCCTCTTTCCTGCACATCTGACATTTGACAATGTTGGTTGTCACAACAGGGAGGGGGGGAGGGGGCGGGGACAGAGGCGCCTTACACCAAAGAATTATCTGGCCCTAAATGTTAAAAATACCATTGTTGAGGGACCAGCAGTTGGCGTAATGGCTATATCGCTGAACTCCCACGTAGTCAACTGCGGTTTGAGTCCCGGACTCGGTGGCTTAAACTCATGCCGGGCACGTGTGCGTGCGTGCCCAACATCCCGAGAGAATGGAGAAGGGATTGTGGCGTGGCCACCCCCCCGGGGGGTGATTTCTCGCTTTCTGTCTCTCTGTCTCTCTCTGTCTTTCTGGCAAGCACAAGCGCCCTATAGCAAAAAACAAAAAACAAACAAAACCCAGAAAAAAACTCTCAAAAAAAAAAATCATTGTTCAGAAACTTTGCCTTAAATGTTATTCTAAAATATTTTTTGTTCACAATTTTAAATTCAGGTGTATTAGTGCAAGTAATCATGGGAAATCATTTAGTAGAAGAAAATGCACAACTATCTATTTCAAATAAAATCTTAGCCAACAATACTATTTTGTGAATTTCAACCACATCACAAACAACATTGGATATTTTGCAAGGAGACATTGAAGTAAAAAGACGCACAGCAAATATTTCCTTTGATTTGAAAGTTCCGGACATTGCTTAAATTCGATTGTTTTAGCACAAAGAATTGGGAAGAAATTTATTAAGGGAGTAAAAGGGTACAAATAAACAAATATTGAGACCAATCCAGTGGCACAGTCAGTAGCAAACTGAACTGCAGTGTTGGAAGACACATGCCAACCATGGTCCAAACCTCTGGATAAGACTGAGAACACAGAACATGTGTATGCATGCCCGAGATCCTTACTAGCGAACAGGCTAAGCAAGGGGGATCTCAGCATAATGAAACCCTGTCTAGGCTGCTTCTTTCTCTCTCTCTCTCAATCTCTCTGACTCATGCACACAGATGTACTGTCTATCATGAATAAAAATAAATAAACAAACATATGGGCCAGCAGGTTGCATGGAGGTTAAAGCAGCTATATCCCACATGGTCAACTGTATGGTTTGAGACCTGGAATTAGAAGCTTGAAAATCATACCAGGGGCATGTGTGTGAGCACCCAAAAAGTCCCAAGAGGAGAATGGAGAGTGGGGGTTGTGATGTGGCCATCCCTTGTGGTGGGGTGATTTCTTACTTTCCCTTTCTATCTCTTTCTGGTGATAACACTCTCTTTCTGCTCTATAGCAAAACTAAAATAATAATAAACAACTAAACTTCAAAAAATTATTAGTGGGGTGGAGAAGATCCCACTCAGCTAAATAATTAGAGAAATTCTCACACAAGTCCATAAACAGACATGTAAGAGGATTTTTTTGGTTTTGTTTTTAAAGGTTTATTTATTTAATCTTATTCATGATTATTATTTTAATTTGACCAGAGAGAGAAGGGAAAAGTGAGAAAGCAAGCCACCAGGTGCAGGACTTGAACTGCAGTCAGCCATGTGAAGTCCAGCACCCTAACTGCCATATCATCTGCTGGCCCTGTAAGAAGATGTTTTTATAGGGATCAGCAGTTAGCGTAATGGCTATGTCGCTGGACTCCCATGTGGGCGACCACGGTTCGTGTCCTGGACCCGGTGGCTTAAAACCCACGCCGGGCACATATGCATGTGTGCCCAAGACCCAAGAGGAGAATGGAGGAGAAGGGATTGTGGCATGGCCATCCCCCCTGGGGGGTGATTTCTCACTTTCTGTCTCTCTGTCTCTCTCTGTCTGTCTGGCAAGCGCACGCGCCCTATGGCAAAAACCTCTCAAAAAAAAAAAAAGATGTTTTTATCACTAAATTCTTTGTGATGGTTGGAGAGCTGGTCATAATCAGGTGTCTGAGAGTAGGATCCATACATTGAGCTCTC